GGTTTTGAGCAACCTGAGATAGTGAAAAATGTCCCTGCTCATGGCAGGGAGGTTGGTCTAGATGATCTTTAAAGATCCTTTCTGACCCAAACCATTCTGTGCTTCAAGAGCTAGGACTGAGGTACACTGTGTCTTCTCTGATGCCTTTTCAAAGGGGAAACTTCCAGTTCCCATCTCTTGACTCCCCAGCAAAGCTCACAGGCCAGGCTGGTTTGGTGAAGAACCAGACAAAAGCCTAAGTACTATTTACCTGTACTGGGGGCTCCAGTTCTGAGTCATGCAATGACATCCCACTGTTGATTCCTTTTGCAAACAAACAAGCAAACAAGAAAGGAAGTGGAAAAGAGAACTGACTTATCTCATACCAGAGATACCTTTGCTGCTGTGTCATGCTGGGCAGGGCCTGCATACCCCCCTTCCTTCCTACTTGAGTGCTGCATCCCCACACGGGGATGGGGCCATATCCGTAGGGATGCCTTGTCATGGCAGGGAAGAGCCATGAAACAGGCACTCAAGTCTTTGTGTGCTCATAGCCTAGACTTGTGTTAATACAGTTACTGGCGTGAGCAAGCAGGAACAAGAGAAAGTGGTATATTGAATCTTGGGTGTCATATCAAGGGGAAAAATGGATTACTGATTACAGGTTTTAAGAGACCCTAACGAAAGAGGATGAATTGTGTTGATCCTACAGCTGCCTCTTCTGGGCAATGCCAGATGACCTTAGCCACTTCTGCAATGCAATGTCACATGTGTTCTTGTTAATTATTGCTAATTGAGGCTGTAAGTGATCTAAAGAAGTTTGCCTATGGACTCCCTTGTTATTGGAGAACAGAGTTTTCATAGGACCTATGGGAGCACGTGTACTGCTGACACCCAATAAAACCTGATGCTTTCAAGTCACTGAGCTGCCTCTGACTATCTCATCCATGAATCTTTAGCATACAACTGCAGCAGGGGATAATGGCTAGACCCGAAAGCCCCACCATGCCCACCGCAACTGTTCACATGCAGAGATGCAGATAGGATTGCATATGTTGCAGACTCGTGGAGAATACGCAGACAGCAGGCAGGCTGGCAGCTCTTCCTCACTGCTTGTTACAAGTTGTTGATCAAGATGACCATGCAGAACAGAGGCAAGGAAGCTAGAAATCTTTGCTAATGAATGTATGCACATACAAATACAGCAAAAATCAACAAGCTGTAAGTGGTTGGGCATCTGTCATTGGTGATTAATATATCCATTCATGGCCAGGTGCTGTCCTCCTAAGTGGGAAAGGATGGATCTTGATGGAAGGTTCCTCTGTCTCTGGCTTAACAGGAGTTACTATTATTTATAGTGTTAGCACTATGCTACCTATGCATTAATCCTCATTGGCTTTTATAGGTGAGTCTTATCAGAGTATGTATTTTTGTCAAGACAATGAAGCCACCCTAGTTACCTATTAAAGCTTTTCATGTCAATGGCAGTTTCATTTAAATAAGCTAATAATATCTCCTAAGAATCCTATATATCAGCAAAAAGATTCCCCAGAGCTGCAGCCATCAGCAAAAATAAGACTTTGAGGGTTTACATTGCCCATGGGTGAGTGATGAAGTCAATGTGTGTCAGCCTATGCTAAGACATAGCCTGCATTAGCCTAAGTAGGGCCACGGCGAAGCTTTGGCAGTTCTTCTAGCTGTGCTGCCAATGCCTGTGAGTTTTGACAGCTCACACTAGACAGTGAAAGAAAGTCAACCCAGAATCAAAATTAGTATCTCTTAAAATTGCCAGATGTCCCAGTCTTTCTGTTTGGGCAGCTCTACCAACTTCTCATAGGTAAACTTTACATTTGCCTCCTGCATTTACCAACAGCTCCTGAGGCCTCCAATGAGAACTGTCAGGGAAAAGTGACAGGATATAAGTGCCTAAATACCTTTTTCCCATCTAGGACTAAATAACTAACAAAATCAATAAAAAAGTGCATCTAAACAAGTGTCTTAATATACGATTTATGTAAGTAAGGTGTGGAAGCATATGCTCCCTATGATACATAGGAAACCAGTCGTATTTAGCTAAGTCTCCAAAACAACAGAACATTATCAATCTCAGTGCCAACTTATTTACTTGTAATGCAACTGAGAGGCTGAGAGAGGCAGGGTAAAACTGTTCCCACAGTGAATCCTTTCCACACCAGTATTTCCGCACGGATACCAGATAAGACAGCCCGTCCAAGCTATGGACCATGAGGCGAGATCCAGTGCCTGTTCCTCCTCCCCAGTGCAGTGGAACCAGACACATGCCAATACGCTTGGAGATGATGCATCTTGCTACTTTTACAGTTAAATTTATGTGAAAATAGTGCATCTGTTTCAGGATTAACATTCAGTGCTTAATCTACATACCATCTTTTAGACAATAAGGTTACTAAGCTCAGAACTGCCTTAGGTATTGGAGGAACTATTGCTATAGGCACTGTTTTCAGCTTAACACTGCAAGTTCTCTCTGTTTTGGGCTTTTTACTAGTCAGTTACTGAAGTTAAGAAAACAGACTAAACCCCATGTATTTCCACAAACAGTGGGATTAACAAGCCTGGTTTCCAACGGACGTGAATCCTGCAGTCCAAGATGCCCCAGCACAATAAACATCCCTCACAGGGCCATCAACTCTTGCCCCCTATGACTACTCACTATACCCCATTTCCCTAACTGCCTGGCTGTGCAAGAGATGAGACAGACCATGGTTAGGTGCATTGGTTGCACAACCACAGATTCCTGTAGTGAAAGACAATGATTAATGCCTAAGAGCTACCATTAATTCAGATTTCTCTCTTATTGTTGATGCTTCATGAGACTGAAAGGAACTTCCCATCTTTAAGATTACTATCTGTCAAATTTAGCTGAAATCAATCAAGTGGGTTTTGAAATTATTGGGGAGAAGAGAGGGAAGAGAGGTTGTATAAATGACAGTGAAAGTCTTATTTCTGTGAAGAGGATAACATCAAGCTTACCAAGTTGGTACAGTGTCTGTCAGGGACTGTAACCAAGTTATTTTGGTGAATACTCAAAGCTGTTATGTAGAGAACTGAGAATTGACAGAGGAAGTATGGGCAGATGGTGTACAGTGATGGCATTTCTGTCACTATCTCTGTTCATCAAATTCAGTTAAAATATTAAATAGGAGCAAAATCAGAAGTGTGGAAGCTAGAGTGAAGATCCTACCTGTCTCTCCCTGGAGGCTGTGGATAAAGTCACAAAGTTCTTAAATCTTTAAAGGAGGTAAAAAATTAAGAAACTTATCCTTGTGAGGAACCTCATCTTGTGGGCTCCAAAGAGGAGAAAGGAGACTACTAACCTTGCTCCAGTTTTGTTTACATCTTGCATCATTTGTAGTCAGCATTTAGAGGTTAGCAAGCTGTTTTTGGAAAAAGGCTCTCCTCTCTTTGCAGGGTGCTTGCCATCTCCTAATGCCTGCAGCCTATCAAAGATGAGATGCATACAGCAAGATGTATTTTTCTACTGGCTGTCTTCGTTTGGAAAATTGCCAAAGAATACAGTTTCTGTACTCTTATGTGCTTTAATTTGCTTTGTGCTAAAAGTTTGTTTGAAGAGAACTGAGGTTATGCATCAAGCACAGGAGTATAGATTGTCCTTTCTATCAGAAGGATTGGATTTCCAATCACTCATAAGCTTCATTGTCTTGGAGGTGTTTTGAACAACTGTCGTATAGACAAAAAGACAGTCTTTAGCCTGGCTTTTGGCAGGTTTACCATGCAAGTATGGGGTCAGCACACGATCAAGATCCAGCTCCACTTTACTGGACTAAACACAGGTATCTCCGGTGTAGACACCTACTTTTGAGGTAGCCTCCTTCAATAATCAAAACAGAGTTCAATCGGCATTATCACTGCATTGTAAGTATGATTAATTTCATCTAAAAATGAGGTCTAAAGACATGAAGTCCCCATCTAAGATGCCTACAATGATCACTCACACCCTAAAAGTGACATGTCTCTCAAACGGCTAGAAGTAGAGCACAGATGAGTATCCCAGATGGAGACACACCTTGCTGCCTATTGGCAGTGAAGAGTTTAAAAGACATGCTAGCCAGCTGCACTCAATTAAATGTAATGTCAAATATTTGACTGAGCTGCCATCAGTCCTTCTTCTATTCTTCAGTCGATTATAGTAGCAGTTATTTGTCCTTTCCAAGTGCCCATCCAGAATATGTGAGCAGTGGCTGGACTTTCACTGCGCACGCCACAACGGGTACATAGCTAGCATGCTACAAGCCATTGATCGCTTTATCTAACAGCCTTTTTCAGCAGAAAGGTAGCAAGTACCTTTGGTACATACTGCTGTTGTGCAGGCCACACACTGGGACAGTTGAACAGTAGGCATAAGAGCATAAGAACCTGGCTGAGGTGCAAGTCACTGATATTTAGATAACCCATTCGTCATCAAAATCTAATAAATTACATATTCTTATATGTATTTAAAGTAAGCAGAGTTAGGCACCTCCATTCCTTAATGCCTGGATGTGGGCAGCAGCCTGCATTGTGAAACACTTCAATACCTTTTTAACTCTGGCCGTAGGCTCCCTTAATAAATACTTCAGATGAATGAGGCTTATCCTCCCCTAGCTCCATGGCATCGCATGCTTGATTTCAATTGTTGTACTGTACACTCCCAGTCACCGCACCCTTTGGTTTGCTTCTTCTCTTGCTTTGTGTACCTGCGTGTTAAGAGAAACTGGGAAAGGCAGTTTAATTGGGGAAGAAAGTTCACAACTGGGGAAGGAGTTCATAAGTGTCCTCTCTGCCCCTAGGCAGAGAGCACCGAGCGATGTCAAAGCCTACTGGTGATCTGGCCTGTCATTCTGGCTGGGAGGGGAGTGGCAGACCGGAGAAGCAGCACTTTTAAAGAGACTGAGGAAGTGAAGCTGGGAAGCCAGTGTGAAGCAGCCCTTCAGCTAAAGAGAATTACTTATTCAGCCACCTGGAGACTAAAAGGAAGAGCACCTTGAGGTGAAACAAAGGAGAGATGAGGAGGATGGCAACGAAAAGTCTTTGGCTGTTCATTTTCAGTGCAAGTGAGTACTAATTTGGTTATGTCCTCAAGGGTTGGGTAGAAGGAAACAACACTCCAAAGTCCAAGTATTCCAATGGACTTCGTGTGTTTCTTTTTTGTTTAGCAGAAGTTCCTTCATGTTTATGATCAGGCAGGTGTGTTTACCGTCTCTCTGCTGAATGTCCAGACTCACAGGCATCTCCTAAAGCTGCAAGACAGTGTTAGGAGCAGGAAAAGAATGCTATTCTTCATGAGGCTGGAAAATATTCTTTACGAACAGTTTTAATGGTTTGTGTTAAATACAATGTTTACCTCTGAAGAAGGAACTTCCTCAGCTGGAAGTGGAAAACTCCTTAGGTTTTATTCTTTTATTGATAAATCTGCATGTAGCGTACTTCTCTGTAAGTCTAAGTCCTACTGTTTATACGTACTCTGATAAAACTTGTGGTCTCTATATATTATTCACATCAAGGGGATTCACAACGATCCCTATTAACACATATAAATCAGCCAGTTCATCCTTGGTCTTCATCACAGGCTTGCCCTTTCTCATCCTGCCGTGCAGAGCCTGCAGTCTCAGTTCCACTGCTTTTGACCTGTCTTGTCTTCTCATACCACTGCTCCTACACCACCTTCCAGGCTTCAGACAAAGCTATGCACATGGAAATTGCTTGGGCATTTTGGTTTGGTTTGGTTTGGTTTTGTTTTTTTTTACCAAAAATCCTGAAAACCTCACTTCAGCAATAAAACCCAGAAGAAGGAAATTCATGAAGTTTAACGTAATTAGAAAAAGTGGATGCGCTCCATATGCAACAAATGTAACTTGCACCATGATTTCACGATCATTATGTAAATTGTGTAATGCCATTGGTACTCATTCTCACCATTCATGCTATCCAAATTATAGATGGGAAACTTTTCAGAGGAGAAATATGTATGTTGGGTGAAGCTCTTCTTGCCTGTTTGGGCAGGACTCAAATGGTAATAATTCAGTGTTAAAATACTGTCCTGTGAAAATTTTTTGGAGAAGGTATAGTAGATTCCTGCAGTGCACCAGACTGGACAAACTGCACAGTACATGGCAGCGCAGTGTTGGGATGCCATAGCTGCCCTGGATGGGCTGCATCAGGATCTCGGCACAGGCTGACTACTCCTGTTTGTACAGCTTTTCGCTGCAGTTGTGTGAATAACTGGTACTGTGAATCTCTTGCTGAAGGAAAAGCCCCAAATGGCCATTCTGAATCAAACAAAATATTTACTTTTGCTGCAAAATTCACATTTAAGAGGTTTCCCTTCTCCCACCTTGGAATTAAATTTCAGCTAAATTCTGAGGTAAAGTATTACGGAATTAAAAGTCAGAGTGTTTCCTTCTAAAAGTGAACTAAAACACTTCCACGTTTCCTACTTTTCCCACTAGTGAAATCTACCACGGCAAACCAGCAATAATAATTTTGCTTGATCAGAATCTCAATTTTTTTTCAGCAAACAAAATATTCCTCTAATTGTTTCCAGCTCTATTAATTGCCCTTCATTCTGTTTTGATTAAAACTTACTCAGTAAGGAATGTGAAAGTAGACACGTCGCTTCGATTTTCTTCTTCCTTTGTACAAGTACAAATGTTTAAGTTAGGCAGAGGGAGATAAAGCCTGTCTCAATTTTTCAAAATGTTATAAACATACTAATTGATAACACACAAGAAAGTAATTCTAAGGCTTAAATCTAGGTGACACCATCCTTCTAGTACTATATAGGCTATTCATCATCTGTCCTTTTCTGGGTCTTTCAGAATTGGCCTTCCCCTCCCTTAAGCCATACTTTGAACAGATTCTGTTTTCTCTCAGGAAAAAAAAAACAAACAAACAACCCAACCCCTGAAGAATAAACCCCAATTTTTAGAGATGCTGACTGTGACTAGCTGGCTGTTGGTGACTTTGTGACAAAGTGACATGTTAGAAGGGGGGAAAAAGGAAATTGGCGTGAGTAAATGGCGCCCCAGAATGAAACTGTGCAGCTTCCCTGAGAGCCAGAAGGAGCCTTAACAAGGGAGGAGTGGGGGCCAGAAAGAGATGTGGGTGAAAAACAGTGAGAGCATCAGAAGAATTTGGGTATTAGGGTGAGAGCAACGTTTGAATAAGCAGTCTCACTTGTTACAGGCTGTGTCTCTTGTACACAGTATTTGGTTTAGCTGTTCCCCCAATCTCCACTGCAGACATGTTTAGAAAAAAACAAACAAATATCTCATTTATTGTAGGATTTGAGTCATCCGATTAGAAGAAGGAAAAGCACTTGTGAGGGGAAGCCTTAGGGTTGGGCAGTCTCTTCTCTGCCTCAGGGCTGAGTTAATGACTTGTCAGTGAACCCAGGCCTGGTGGAACCAGTTTCTGAGCAACTAAAGGACCAGGAAATGGGTTTTGCTCCATCTCCTAGTACAGATGGTAGTGCTTTTCACCTAAATGCAGGAAAGTGTCTCTATCCAGTTGTGTCAGGAAACGAGAAAGCTTTCATAGGTGTCCCTCAATATAGAGACCATGATGAAAAATACAGTAAGAGCGAGCCCTGGGGCTACGCAAACATGGCGCTTGCACTGGGTGCTCCAGAGCAGGGAAAGACCTGGGAGTGGCTGCAATAAAACCATGCTAGAAACACTTTGCCCTGCTGGTTTCCTTCTCATAGCTGTCAGCAGCTGTAAATGAATTAAGCCCCAAGAGAACAGAAACCATGCTTAACCAATTAATTGTGCAAGACCACAGAACAACTCAATTATGGAACAGGGAATGCAGAACAATCGGAACTTCAGGTAGAAGGTTCCTGATCTGGTCACTCAGACACCTCTTCTTACCAGACACTAACAAGTGCAGAAAGCCATGGTTGCACTCCTGCCGAAAATGTCTGAAGCTGCTTCTGACGATAGCTGTGGAAGGGAGGGCATCCCTGCCTGGCAGCAAGGAAGGAGGGGTGCAGAGGAGGGAAAGCTTTGGCTACTGTGAAAATTCCCATCAAAACCCTCTCAGGAGACGGAAGATGCAGCAGTTCTGGAAATATGGGCCACTTCTAAGAAGAGACTGGAAGGACAGCTTGCTATGGAGGACAGGCTGGATCTGGGAAGCTGTTACAGAAGCTTTTGCATCTCCCAAAGGGGAGTAAATCCCCATGCCAACTGTCCCGTGTTACCCCATGCAAGTACCTGAATTGCTACCAGCAGGTTCCCAGTGCAATGAAAACAAAACCTTTTGGGTACCTATGCTGTTATTATCTAAGGGACGATATTGTCCACTGCTGCTATAGTCAAGGATCTGGTAGTGCTCAACTTGCCAATGGTTAACTCCTATTGACCTAATGCAGGTGTCTGTGTTTTTTTCCTGTCTAAAAAAGCACATATTCATAATCAGTTTGCAACTCTCAAGGTGGAATCTAGATGTCCTTTGCTCTCTCCCTTACACATTACACTTCCTTATGGATCTAATCTGGACAGAGATAGGGCAGAATGAGGACCCAAAGCTTGCTAGACAGCAACTTTTCAGTCAAATCCTCTCTGGAGAACACTGACTCAGCCTGGTTCTTCCAGAAGCAAACCTTCACCACCACACACAGAATGCCCCTCCCGGGGAGGGCATACATCTCTGCCCTCCTCCACCGTCCTCCTTACTGGACCATGTTCCTCTTTGCCATAGGGGTGCCTCTGAGCAGCAGTCCCTTTCCCACCTCCCTGCACTCTCTCTAATGGGCTTCAGACTTAGATTTTTTTCAAATTATTCAGTTTGGTGCCATAAAAACCCCACACACAAACTGTAAGGAGAAAGCAGGTATTTTTAAACAGGTTCCCACAGGCATGAAGGTCATCTATGGCAGGGGAGAGGTAAACCTCCAGCCCAATTCTGAGATTAACTAAGATCTGCCACTACCTAATGCTTGGGTATGATGAATCAAGGCGAATAGAATACAGCATACAAGAAACACCTACTTGCACTCTGCATGCTTCACCAGGACACAGAGGGATTTCTGTTTATTCAACTCTCAGCTATTCCTGTGTTCCACTGGCATGAGCTACAGTTCTTGCAGAAAGGTGACTACTACCCTACTTATTTTTAAAAACAAGTAGCTATTCTTCTACTTTCTTTCAAGCACTCTTTGCCTTTCTAGGTTTTTCCCTTTTCAGGGCATTACATGAACAGGTTTTGATTCCCTAGCATAAAATGTCACTTCTGTATGGATTTGGATTGAGGCAAGTTATTTGACAGTTTTCATAATCCCTGAAATTTGACAATATCAATTTGTTAGTTTAGCCTGAATTCTTAAGACTGCTGATGCACTTGTATTATCTGTTTATCTGTCTCCCTCTTTACATTTAGAACTGTCAAAAGATGTCAGTCACACTGAAAAAGGGCTCAGAAAAAAAAAACAAACCCAAACAACCTGAAACACATCTTTATAAACCCCATGGCAATGTTTGTCCAGTAAAGAAGACAGAAGCAAGGAAAGGAAACCAGAGTTTAGCTCTTAGCCATCCTGTGTAGCAGCTTCCTGTAGTGAATCAGCCCCAGCATGCATCACCTTTTGCTCAGTGAGGAATGTTATGGGTGACAGAGGGGATGTGGGGTTGTTGTGGCATGTAAGAAAGTCAAAGAGACAAAACATGGAGTCCAGATGTTGTTAACTTTGCTGACTGCAGAATTATTCTCTTCCTAGTTCTGGTGACTGCTCATGCCCTCACTGTGGAAGCACCTGCCAAGGAAATACAGGTGGCACGAGGGAACAACGTTACTCTCGGCTGTAATTTTAAAACAGACGCTTCGATTGACTCAGGAGATGTTGTTGTCTGGAGGAAAATCAATAGTGCGGTAAATCAAGTTGCCTAAAGAAATGTATGATAGGACATCCAAGAAGGGGGTGGGAGGATAGATGGAAGCAGGACTGTGGGTGGGAATGTGAGTTGGAAGAAAGAGATTCCTTTAAGACTGTCTTTAATCTTAGAACTATGCAAACAGAAACTCTGATTCTAGATGCAATTTATCCCAAATCTACTGCATGACACTAGGCTAGCCCCCACCCTTCTCTTTCCTTTCTCTTGGTCTTGCAACTAACTGTGTATTGAGGATACATTGCTGTATGTACTGTGTGTTTACATCTATTTATGTGAAATACTCAGATAACTTTATAAAACCTTTATAAAAATATATATACTTAAAATATACATATATTATACATAACTCTTTATATAGTATCAAAGATATGTATATATAAATATAAGTTGATGATAATAGTACATGGAAAAATTCTTGAGGTCTCCTACATTCATATGGAGTATTTGAAGGTAGAGAGACCTCTAAAGTTCTCCTTGACTTCTTGGGAATTAGTAAGAGGGGAAGCAGCCTTAGGACATCTCCTTGCAGTAACTGCCAAGGGTTCCTTCTCTTAAGATCCTTCCTGGAAGAAAGGGAGTGAGTTTCTGTAATCATAGTGGAATTTGATTGACATATGGATCTTGGACAAGTCTCATGGTGTCCTGTCCTGGGCAGGAAAGGTGAATAAGCCCCAACAAAAGAAATCAGTTTTCTCTGACTTCAGCTAAGGTGGGAAAAGGGGATTCCAGACAGACCCTTTTGAATTTCTAGGTTTTTCTTGGCTTTGTGGCAAACTGGGGCAGTTTAAGGACCTCTTTTCCAAGCTGCTCTTAAGAGTGGGCTAATCCATCAAGTTAGGTTGTAGACTCACACAGAAGAAACTAAGATGGATCATTTTCCCTCCATCTCTATCAGGATGATGCTGTCACTAGGTATTTCGATGGACTTGTACAGTATGGCAAGGGCTATGAGAACCGTATACAGTTTAGTGGTGATGTAAACAAAGGGGACATCAGTATCACCATCAATGCAGTGACCATGGAAGACAATGGGACATACGCATGCAACGTTCGTCTACGGAATGACCCCCCGAGACGGACTGCAACCTTGGCTCTTTTCGTCCTTGGTAAGCATGACGGAGGCAACACCAGATCCATTAGATAAAACGCTGTCCTTCCTCTAATATCCACATTGGTTTAGACAACAGATTTTCTAACAGGAAAAAAAACCTTTCCCAGGAAGTCATCATCTACAATTCCATCTTCCATCTTTTCCTACTACTATGGAAGTAGGTTGGAAGGCTTAGAGCACCCTTAGACAGTAGAAAATTGTCTTTAGAGTTGTATAGTTCAATTTCCTAATATTCCTTGCCTCATTACAGGGCATGCCTCACTCCCCCTGTGGCTTGTCATACTCCAGTTATCAAAGGATGAGTTACCCAACACTATTAGACATCCCAAAAAGCATCCTACAATTCCTTCTTGGCTGACCAGTGCCAAGCAGGGAGAAACAAATTAGAGACAAGTTCACTCCAGTTCCTTACAGAAGAAGGTGGTATGTGCAAGACCAGCCTGTGTTTAAAAGGAATAAAAACCATAGCTGCAGGAGATAGGTTGAACAAAAACCTACTCCTGATTAATAAAATTCCTTCCTTTTTTCTTCCTTCAGTTGCACCATCCAAGCCAGAATGCCAGATTTTGGGGACAACAGAATATGGACAGACAATCAATCTGACCTGCATTTCTCATGAGGGCTCCCCAAAGCCCAGATATACCTGGCAAAGCTTCAATGTACAAAATGAGCCCCGTGTACTACAAACAACAGAAGGTATGGCAAGTTCAAAGACATCGAGTCTTTGAGCTCTCTGTAGATCAGGGTTGGAAAGATTTTGAAATACAAATACAAAAACACACTTAAGGCTTTTTCTAGGAAGTTCTTGTCCAGGATTTTGAAAAGTCACCCTTTTGATCCAAGACACACTCATGAGTAACTGAGAAGGGGAAAAGGACTGTTACCTGAAGTAACAATGGTCAGTAAGATTTTCACTTCAGCTCTCACCTGGCAAGAAAGCTGACTCACTCTGGAAGCAGCCAGAAATAATTACTTCTCAGTTCCTGGGTGTAAGGGGGGCATAACATGAGGAATAACATCGAGATTTCTAACTGGTGTGTCTTTATATCCCAGCTCGCTCAACAATGACAAGGTTGGTTTCTGGGGTGAAGGCAAACAAAAGTTGGTTCTGGAAACTACTTTCCTTCCAGAAATGACTCCTCACCTACAGGAAGATGGCAGGAGAAACGGTTACACAATTCCTGCTCTGAGCATAAAAGAGGCTTCTGATTCTTTAGGACTGTCACACAGACCCCAGTATTTTATTTGCTCTCATTTTAAGTCAGAATCTGGAAAAAAAAAAAAAAAAAAGAACTGAATTTCCACAACAGGACCTTTGGTGGAACTATACACACAGAAATTAGGGTTTAATATTCTTTGAAGTGTACTAGTGACAGAGGATTCAGATTTATTCTTTTAAACAACTTTGTTTCTTTCTGGTATGTTCAGCTCCAGAAAGATTAAGTATCTGAACTTACCCTTCCTGGTTTAACTTATTGTAGCAACACTGTGGAGGTAAATTAAACATGATCAGACTCGACAGGATATTCAACACTCACTAGCCGATTCTTGCATGAATTATGCAAAAGACAAAATATCACCAGTGACACAAACCTTGTTCATTTGACTGGCCACTAAGTGGTGCCAACGCATCACACACAGCTCTGAACACACCGTGATGTACTGTCACTGCAACCAACTTTTCTGTGTTAATCAAGTCCCAGTGCAGAATCCCCTTAGGAACTGCTCCAAAAATGATAGTATCTGACCCTCATTTTTCTCAGTTTGACTCACCAGTCAATTACTTTTGATTTAACATAGAAGGATTTACAGTCCGGTTATAGACTGCAACTCTGAGAGTTATAAACATCACACTGAAATAAAAAAATAGAAGTAAGCACAGACAGTATGTAGAGACAAAAAAAACCCAACCAAACAAAAAAAACACACAACCAAACCTCAAGCATGCAGTCTGTTATTACTTGGTTTGCATGCTCTTTTGCTATCTGGCACTAGGTGCCAGCAGAGACCAAACAGAATCCTAGTCCCACGAGTAGGCTGGAAAGAAGCAAGCTCACAGGGAAAATAAACCAGGAAAGTCGCTGAAAAGCATGGAGAGCGTTTTGCTTTTGGAGGAGGAATCTGGACCTTTATCTGTAGATCTCAAGCAAAAGGCATGGACTACACATACAAATGTCGGCTGGAGATCTAACAAACAAAAACTGACTGCTTGAGTAGACAGAGCTGAGCTTTAGCATGTGGTTCTGAGCTCCGTTAGGCTGGATAGAAAACATCAGTATCATAGCAATTCCATTTCTTTTCCTTCATTTATTTTCACAACCTGTGTGGCCTCTCCCAGACTAGAAAACTATTTCCCCTACTGCTAAATAATTCAGATCTGAAATCCTAAGAACTGGAGGACTGAAGAGCTTTTTGTTGATTTGCAAGTTAATTCATCAGATGGCCAGTTCTCAAAGCCAGATGCCGGTTTGGGCCGTCTTACATTTCTCAGTAAAATCCGATGCAAAAAAACTTTCACTAAGCACACATACTTCTTTACCCTCCACCTGCAATTTTCTTTCTAAAAGGAATGTTCTCTGTAATCAAAACAGCACACTTCCGTTTGTCCTCCCACAAAACACACTAAAACCTAGGGACTAGCATGGCAGCTCCCGAGCAAGACAGAGCAATCCATCAGCTTTAATAACCTCTCATCACTCCCACTACCTTGCCTGGAATTGAAGGGCTGCTGTCCTCACTTCCTTCCCTGCTTTAATTCTTTCCTTTTTTGGACTGCATTTGTGTTTCACAACAGGGGAACAAATAACTCTGAAGAACATCTCGGCAGATACCTCTGGCTTTTACATCTGCACTTCAACAAACATTGTGGGAAAGGAATTTTGCAACATGACAGTCAGCGTTGTACCACGTAAGAGACGGGGTTGCTTACTGGAGGAGTAGTACCCAAGAAATTATCCTAGCTAAGTGTCAAAGGATTAATGGCATCCATGCAGACAGAAGTATGAAATTCTGTTCTCTCTCTCAAAAAAAAAGCACACTTTTACCTTTAAGACAGATTCTCTGCATTGGTTTACATGCTAATAGAGCACTCACTAACTTATAGGGTTAGTTCACAGATGACAAAAAAATGTGTAGAGTGAGATAGGCCTGAGCCCCTGAAGTCTGAAACTAAACTGTACCAACAAAGTACAGCAGCTGTTCAGATCCAGGAGCTCCTCCCTGTCACTATCAAACTAATTGATCCTGCAGACTTATTAGCTGCCCAGTACAGAATTCACTTCCAGTTACTGTAGTCAAATAAATGTGGCTTCCACTCAGTCTGGATCTGACATCCAGAGCAGGTAGTGAGATCTGATATCTGGTGGTGGGATCTGAAGTCCAGTGATTGCGCTGAGTGCATTTGATATCATTCTCACTGCAAAGAGCTAATTCTATTCTTCATTTATAGCATCCATGAACATAGCTCTTTACGCTGGCATCATTGGTGGAGCTGTTGCTGCAATTGTAGTTATTGGTATTTTAGCCTATTGCTGCTGCTGTCGGGCAGACAAGGAGAAGGACTATGAGATGACGTAAGTACCTTTCTCTAGAAAAGTGAATGGAACATATGAAGGGTTTACCTTCTTTCCCCAGGAACAACATACCAAGTGGAAAGCACGGGAGAAAAAAAGAAATCAAGGATAGAGCACTTCTTTATCCTTTCAGTTTCTACCCTAGGGGCTCCCATGTCTTCTCACTGAGTATGTCCAGTATTACCAGACACCTTTGTGGTCTCTAGGGTAGAACCCAAACATGCAAACCTTGGAAATGAATTAGCAAGCCCAAGTCAGTCAAGCACATGCAGCTATTTGATAAGCAAAGCCCAGACTGCTGCTCATTTCTCTGAGTCCCTATAGCCGTTTCTGTCCTTACTAGCCCAAATCACCATGAGGCTCTGTATTCAGAATTTTCACTCCAAGATAGAAACCTTTTGTTTATACTCACGATGGAAACAGACCATTGGAAGAAAAGTGGGATGAGTAAAGATACAGCAGTCACCCTTTCTCTACATACATGCTATGGAAAAAAAAAAAAGGTAGCTCACACACCTGTTGCATCACCAGCAAGACTTTATGGAGTTCAGTTTGGTACACTTCCAGGTCAGCTTAGAGCAGTCTAAAACCATTCTAACACAAAATCTCCTTGTAAAATTTCTAGCTGGTTTTAATTAACATCTCTAATCCTGAACAATGTTTTAGGGAGCGAGAAGACAGAAATGAACCCTCCAACGAGATGCCTTCAAAGAATCAGAGAGCAGAGGAGAGGAATGTTGATGATGAATGAAAAAAGAAGCAGGAGGCCAATGCCATCTTCAGGATTTGCTGAGGCACAGACACCACTGTAGAAAAGAAGTCAATCCCTCTTCCTCACTGCAAGGAGGTTTTTTTTGAATACTAAAATGAAAGCTAATGGCTTTGCCTTCAAGTTCTGGGAGAGAATATCCTTGTCTGCCTGGAAAGAAGTGCTTAAGGGACAATGAGTACTAATACGTAACCTCATAGCAGAAAAATGCATGTGAAGCACTGTTTCACCCAGTCATCCAAAAATAACCAGTCTTCTAGACTTTCCACTTTCTGATAAAACAAACCAGCCAGGTCTATTTGGAGAACAGGGCTGCTGCTCTATCCCCAGATCCACAGAATGTTTCAAGGTCACCAACTGCAAGTCATCAGGGAAGGGTGGTCTTGTTTATGGTGTTAGGCAACTGTCACAACTTACAGCATTGTCCAGTATAGAAATTATTTTATGCAGACCAAAGCAAGCTGATTTTTAAGGACATTTTATTCAATGTGTTCTTTGTATATATTATATATGCACATACAAATAAAAATATGGAAAAAATTACAGATGACCAATGAAAGTCTCCTGTTTGGAACAACAATGCATACTAACAGTATAACATAAGGTAAGAAGTTGGATGGATTTGTAATCGGCAGCTACTAAGATCTAGAAACAGTCTAGCAGCCTGTCAGATTCCTGAACTTATGAGTTCCAGCTCAGAGAGTTCCTAAATACTTATTTTCATTACATTATCCTTTCCTCCTGGCTGTTACATGGGCAAGTCAGAAACAGTCCATTGCTCCTGCTGCTTCCGAAAAAATGTCAGTATGAGAGCATGTAAATGGCAAGTACATCTTTAATGAAAAGAAGAAAAGAGAAAAGGGGGGGGGAGAAAGGAGAAAAAGTACCTTTTTATTCAAAATTGTATCAATTTAATCATAAGCACTGTATGTGCAAATGGGGAAAGAACTCCCATCACTGGTATCTTATCTTTGGAAGAGAATGTCCAAAAGACTGTCAATATTAAAGCTAATTAAGAGCCAGTTTGTTTAGGGTTGTCTTTATGTTTGTTTGTTTGTTTGTTTTTTAAAGACACGTTCAATAAATGACTTATACTACAATATTTATCCTTTCAAAGCTCTCTATTGCATCTTCAACTTCAGGAGTTTCAGAAACCTACTGCAATGCCTCCCACATACCCTTTAGCCACAAGTAGTTAGTTATGTATTTCAGATTTTTGTTACAGATTTAACTTTAAAGAACCACCAGCAATCTTCCTACACACAGGCAGCATTTTCTAGATTGTGAACTATGCAAATCAGACTACCAGAATTGTTATTCTGGCTTGCTTTCTAGCTGCCTTTGTTTTACATGGTACTTCTAATAACACCTGCAAAGACCAACAACCAGACTTCTTTACAAAATGTATACAAACCCAAATCTCTCTGGCAATGAACAACCTGAAATGCAACTCAGCGAGACATTCTGAGGATCTATTCCCATGCTTAGTTTAGATGCATGACAAAACACTGCAAAAATGGATGACTAAAAAAGAATTTTGCACACAGAAGCTGAAGGCAGATAAAAAAATAGGTGCATAGCTCAGAAACAGTGCTGATATGTATTTTGTTGTCTTTTTTAACAAGCAAGTATAGTATGAATTATCTAATTAGCATTGTAACAAGTTTTTACTGTGCAACAAAAGCTATTTCTTATATAAATGTTACAGACATTAGTCAGTACTCCTGCATTCCCTCACAAACACCTATACCCTAGGGCTGAAGAGGGATAATAGTGTGGATTCTCATCAAGGACCTTAACTGGGAACACCAGCAAAAGGACTTGGCAACTACCAGAACTATTTATGGCCAGAAACTGTCTCTGGCCTCTAAACCATTTTAACATTGTGTTACCTATCCCATACTCTTTGGATAGAGGAAGCTTAATTGTTGCCTATCAGCTGAAGTCTTGAAGTAACACTTACACATTGGTCATTTTAACCGTAAAGAAAAATGCAGATTAGCAAATCTGCATTAAGTTATCTGAAGAAACCAGCCACAAAATACAGAAAAGATTACATAATGACCCCCAAAACCATTAATGCAATTCTCTGTAAGCAGGTTCCATAAGAAGTAGCAGGGGAAAAGCGAGAGTGTCAAACTTGACAACTATTAAAGCAGAACAACTTGCATTCTGCAACGCTAAGCTCAGTTCTACACTGGGAAACAAACTAAGAGATAGCACATAGAGAGACGGCTGAGATCTGTGCTGCTTATATTTTTTCCCCTTTTTCCTTTTTTTTTTTTTAATAAGACTAACATTTTGGAAGTTGTGCATTTATCAGAATGCTACATGTGTTTTTTCTCAACCAATTTGTTAAACTCAGTCAGCCAGAAATACACATATTCAAATTCCTATCTTACTCCAAGGTTTTCCTGTAACTGAATTACTTACTTGTGTGCCTTGTATGTCTTTTGAAGCAGGAATAACTCCAAGAGCCTGTAGTATACCCACAACTTTAAACAAAATTAAAGCAGCACTAACATATTTGGGGGGAAGATGGGGAAAGCTAGGAATACTTAATTAATTCTAAAGAATTAATGTATGTATACTGAACTTCAACACTCACTTCCCTCAAAAGGCAGAAAGTAGGTAGAAAATGAATGACCAGACAGAAAAATAAATTCCTACTTTATCCTTTACACAGCCTATAGTAAATTACTGTTTAGTTATCTTCAATTTTTACATGGAAGAATACGCACATATAAGTTTTATCTGTGCATGAACAGGAAGAACCAGAACACAATGATTTAAGCCCTCACCAAACCATTTTCCCATCTGCAGAACTGCTGAGATCTGTCACCCCACGTGGAACAATGACTGAAGAACGATTTTGATACTTCATTACTTAGCAAGATTTGTTTTGGCAAGCATATCAAGAGGATATTAAAAAAATTACCTAGTTTTCCTTCTGACCTTCCCTCAGCAACCTGCAACAGGCCGTTTACTCTATAATGAACCATATGAAGGAAGCAAAAAAGTCCACTCCATCGGTCTAGCAAACCAATGAAAAGTAGGCAGGACAGAAATCTTGCACACAATTTGAGAAACTGGCTCACCCTGCCCTGCTCAAAGCAATCAAGCAATTACATTAACCAGGACTATACCACATTTCCCTCTTGTGTTTAAAGGGGAAGAAATTCCAAATTCCCCCCCTTTCCTTTTTCATTCCCTTCTTAGTTTTGGGCTTTCTTCTCAGCAGAGTTGCTTTCCTGCCAGTCCTGGCTATATAGCTGAAAGGGGTTCTTCCCTCCTAGGTGCAGGACTTCGCTGCATTTCGTAAGGTTCCTACTAGCCCTCCACCCAGCCTGTTTAGGTCCCTCTGTACAGCAGTCCTGCCCTTGAGTGTATCAGCTGGTCTCCCCAATTTGGTGTTTTCTGCAGGCAAGAGCGAACTCCATCACCTCCTCCAAGTCACTGCTGAAGACACTGAACAGGCCATAGAATAGACTCTTTCAGTACCTCAACTTGTTACTGGCCTCCACGTACAGTAGGACCAAATTTTACCCATCTGGTTGTCCACCCATCTAGATTGTAACATCCCAACTTGGATACAAGCATACTGTGAGAGACCATATTGAAAGCCTTGCTAAAGTCAAGGTAAATGACAATTACTGCTCTCCCCTTATTCACAAACCTATCGTGGAAAGCATTCAGGCTGGTCAAGCATGATTTAGCCTTGGCAAATCCATCCTTACTGTTCCCAGTCCCCCTCTTCTTCACATACCCAAAAACATGTTTCAAGAGGACTCCACATTTTTTCCAAGGACTCCAGTGGAGCTGAGCAATCTATGGTTTCCTGAATTATCCTTTTGGCAGCTGGGTGCAATATTTGCCTTCCATCGTGGTGGTCTTTCTATGGTCTCTTCAACCATTCAAAGGTGAGAGAAAAGCCTTACAAAGGTATCAGGCAGCTCTCTCAGCATCCTCAGATGCAGCCCATCTGGTCCTATGGACTTGTATGGGTCAAGATCCCCAGCTGATCCCTGACTCAATCTTCATCCACTGCTGGTGTTCGCCCTGAACCCTTCCCAGGTACAGAGATCTGAGAGACCTTATTAGGAAAGACTGAAACAAAGAACGTATTGAGCACCTCAGCCTCATCTGTGTTAGTCCAGCCACGTTACTAAATCACTCGCACCATTCAGCAACAAGACCACTTTTTCCCTGTTCAGTCTTTTCCTGCTAACAAAATCGTAAAAGCTCTTCTTGTTGACCTTGATCCCTTGCAAGCATCAGCTCCAGGTGAGCTCTGGCTTTCCAAAAACCACCCCTACACGCCTGGCCAGTGTTTGTTGATTCTTCCTTTGTACTCTACACCTGCTTCTACCTCCCACATACTGCACTAGGACTAGGGTGCAGCTGTGAGTTCCCTGTAAAGACAAGACAGTCCCCTGCTCTCCCTGCATTCCTGGACTGTTCTTGCATTTGGAAAATGCTGTTATTAATGAACTGCCAACCTTAATGAACTCCTTTATTCTTCACAGCTGCCCCCCAGGGACTCCACCCCTACCCATTTCTTGCATAACCCCCAAGGTCTGCTCTCACTACCGTCCTCGCTCTTCTCAGGATTTTGAGATGTATTTCCAGTATTATACAGGCAAAAGCCAGCGCTGCCACTGCCTATTATAGGATTCAGTACAGCGCACAATTCAGAACTGATCAGACAGACAAGAGTTAATTATCTCACAATCCTTGTTGCTACAGTAACAGCCCTACTTTTCTATTTATTTGTATCATCTGTTCCAGCAAAGACACTGAGGCAGTCTTCTATCTGAAGTTCACAGTACAATGAGCAAACCGTCAAGATTAATTCTGGATGCATTGAAACTAGTACCAAATTTATTATAGCCCAACATAAGGGAATTTGGAACTTCTCTCTCCTGCCTTTCACCTGTTCACTAGGGAGTGAGGTGAATTATCTGAAAATGGTAATTAGAGAA